ATTAATATCGAACCAGTTTAATTCAATCGTAGTTGAACGATTTTTTTCAATTTTAAATGATGCTTCTTTATAATACGTTGATGCACGTTGCGAAACCATCGATAATGTAACATAATCATTCCATGCAGATGAGACAACAAATGATTTTATACTAAATGTGTTTGGTGTATCTATAGAAATTGTCATTCGTTCGCCATTCATGTTGAATGCAACCCAAGTACCCGATTTTATTGCCGAATAAAAACCACTTTCAGACCATTGTGGATATATTTGTGTATCAAGTACATAAGTATTCGTCCATGTCAAACCATAATAACCATTCGAGATCTTGGAATAGTTTGATGCATTTTCAAATGTAATTAGATTTGAATCCAAGCAATCTAAAATGAATGTTTACTTTCAACTTGCGAATGAAGACAAAAATTTTTCAAATGCTTTTCATGGAATCGATGTTGTACAGAGATGCTGTGACAATGATGTGCTCATATTTTCTAATTCATACGAAAATGATTTCATGTAGCATAATTTCAATAGCATAATTGACTAGTTCATAACATGTGAACTAACAAAAACTTGCCGAACCCATTCACAAATAGTCCATCTGTTTAAGAATACAGAATTCTACTGCGTAAATAACTTTCTGATTACTCCTGCTTTGTTAGGTACTAATGCACAAGGTAATCCGTAGCAAATTTTTAACCTCTGATTTATCAATCATCATTTCAAGCCTACCATTTATCTCAGTTTTGAGAAACTCTAATTTCGTTTGTACAATGCTAAAGCAAAGAATTTGAAACATCTTTCGAGAATTTTAATCAAAATTATTATTTTCTGGATAGAAACAGTTACTAGAAGTTAAACACAATCGTAAATGTCCGTCGTACTCTATTTTAACTAATATAATCTATGTTGTAAGAATATTTGTTTCGATCTTCGAAGTACAAGTCTCATATGACTGGTCTAATCTTCTTGATAAAAACTCCTACATTCTCAGTTTCACAATCTCGAGTAAGAGTATCATCTAAACGACTCACTTGATATTGTTTCTGTCGTTGGTAAAACCGTCTCTTCTGTTGTTGTTGTTGTTACTGTAACTGTGGGTAACATTGCTACAATTATAGAACAAGATAAAATCATAGTGAAAATCAGACGTTTGTATCATCGATCGTACGATCGAAATATTCTTGATATGATAAAGCAAAGTAATACTTACTGTTCCGAACGCATTGACAATCTACTTGTGACCAAATTGAACTTGCTGGACACGGTTTAAGATATCCATTGCCGTGAAGACAATGCCAAAATGTATGATGATTATCAACATTTTCGAGCATGCCGTCATTCTTACATATAAACACTCCATCGATAAGTTTCACAGCGACAATCAAAATATGTAGAATGATTATAGAACACATTTTGTGCAAGTCACGTTTTCTCTTCAACAAGTGCAATTGAATTAGAAAAATAGTGTGATTTTCATTTTAATTTTTTTCAGCTTAAGAGTAAGTAATCGAATCTTTGCGCACCTATGCTACATACTAATTTAGCTAAGATTTAATTGGTTTTTTGACCTTGAAATCCTTTCTTTATTGTAGATTTGATACTAACGAATTGCATATAGCTAGGCAGAAATATTAGCATGACACAAGTAGGGATGGCATTTTATCTTTATTACCTAGAAACTCAACAAATGCAAACAATTATTTCAAAAGTAAGACAATGTTCAAAAAAAAGACATTCGATGACAGTCTACAACATTAGTTTGTAACAAGAAAAATAGTGAACATCCAATATTAAGAGTAATATTCTTTCTTGAAGGCAAGAATGTTGAAACTGATCAAAAATAAAATATGAATCGATTGATCTTCAAAGTGACAAGAGAATTAAAAGCAAATTTCAGTCCATATCTAAAAGATTCATGTCATTCCTACTCCTTGATATTCAATAATGACTTTTTATTCCTGTTCTTTTGTTACTGTAATATGCTTTTTTGTTTTAAGTAATGAATAAAAAATTTAAAATTAGGTATTAGCATACTTTTTTATGGGCCTATTATAAACAAAAATACCACTGGGTTATTTTTATCTTTTGTTAAAGAAATAGATGAATTTGAAAATATATAATATAGAAGAATTTATCAATATTAAATGAACCTCGTTATAATTAATCTTTTTCTATTTAAATTTCTTTTCAAAGATTAGATCATTGAACAATAAAAATAAAAATCGACTTCAAAATTTTTCTCACACTTACGACAGATAAAATCTTCTTTGTTTTTATGGCATATTTATTTCTAAACGGCTTTATTATGTTTCCTAGGAGAATTTATATATCTACTTAGATTTATAAAAACAAATCTTTCTTTAAAGCAACCTACATGACTATTATATATAAATGAATAGTATTCATTCAGAAATATTTTCAAAAGAAAAGGTTGAGTAATAAATCTAAACATTTTAAATATGAATGATGTTATTAATCATGTACTTCAACCGAATATTTATATACAACCTTTTTATTTGTTTTTCTCACTTTTAAGAAATAGTCTTAATATACATTTATTATGTTCTCGTACTATTCCTTCATCATCAAGTACACATTATGTCCTAGTTTATGCTATATTTAGTATTATTTATAGTTGTATTTTATGTCCAACATTATTTGTACGTGGCTTATCTATTAATTGGGCAAATAATTGAATTAGATATAAAACATATTTCTATATTTTATTTGTTGTTCCGTTACAAGCTAATTTAATACTTATTTTAGCTTCAATGGATCTTTATTGGTTTAGTTCACAATCTGATCGACTCCATTCAAGAAATACAATTCAAAAGACAAGAATAATTATTATTAGAGGAACTATCGTATCTGCTATTTATATATTTGTATATGGCACATATTATCTACTTATGATTGGAATGAAAATTACAACAAATGTTTAGCACAATTGAATCTTTTAATGCTTATTTATGTGGGTGAGTGTGGGTATGCATGTTGTTATTTCCAGCAATTACACCCACACTCATCCCACACAGTGGCAACTTTTGCATACCAGGCGGACATGGAATTTTCGTGCTCGGCAATGGGTTTTTATTGCTCAGAAATGATTGTATATCACTTAGAAAATCATCTTTAAGAAAATAAACCATTTCTTTAAAAAAAAGAAATTTTCCCAAAAATTATCCGTAGGGGACCCTTGCTACGATTTTCGAAAAAAATCTTTTATTATGAAACATAATGTTCCGCACATTATTCGACGTAAATTCACGCGCTGATTGCGAATATCGATTTAGTTTTTCGTTAGGAAGTTATTTTGTGGAAAAATAGGGATTTAGAGTCAAAAACCAGGGTTTTTGGAAAATCCGTAACTTCGTCGACGTTCACTATTGCATTTTAACAGTATAGATAAGGAGAGATTCTACATGGAGAAATATTCACTCAAAGTTTGAGCTGGATTCAATTGAAGCTGTTTGTAACGATTACAAAATCGAGAAAGCCAATTTGTAGGAATATTTTTAGCATAATAGTCAAAAACGTTTTTTCAAAAAAAACGCTTTTTTTTTACATATGGTTCGATGCAGCTCGATGAGTGGATTCCGAATATCACCTTGATTTTGTACCAAAATGATGTCTTGTTTCCAAAAATAGAGATTTGGGGGCAAAAATCTCAGTTTTTGAGAGACCCATAGTACCGACTGTGCTCATCAGTGCGAAATGGCGCTATGGTCAACGATGAACTAGACGTGGAAGAATACTTAGTGAAAGTTTGAGATCAATTGAACGAAAATTCTTTTGGGGGTTTACAAAATACAAAAAGACTGGTTTTAAGAACCTTGTTGGGCACAGGTACCGACTTTTTTGTTTTAGAAACATTTACTGTTATATATGATTCGATACAGCTCGACGAGCTGATTCCGAATATCACTTTGGTTTTGCATAAAAATACCTCTGTATTCGCAAAACTAACGATTCCGGAGCAGAAGCCTGGTTTTTTAAGAAACAACTAGCACCGTTTCTGTTCACTGATACGACACGGCGCTATGGCTAACGATAAATCACATATAGGAGAATAATTGGTGAAAGTTTCAGCTCAATCGGATTAAAAACCTTTTGTGGGTTCAAAAAATACGGTATGACCGATTTTTGCACCTACTTTCGGCCCAGTAATCGCTTTTTTTCTACTCCATTTCTTGTTCAATCGAAATAATTTTTTCACACAATGAAGCTTATGGGTCAATCATTCGTTTGAGATAGTTTTTCATTTTAAAATATTTTAATAAGTTAATAACAAAAATCTTCTCCGCATAATTAACGATTTATGAACAAATTTTTTGACCATGGACTTTTACAGGGTTTGACTTGATTTCTGGAAATCTAGTTTTAGGGTAAGATAGACTAACCATAGATGTATTCATTCCAATATTTGAACTTTGGAAAATAGAACTTTCGGTCATGTCCGCCTGGTTGCCCACCGTGTCCCAATACCTAATAAATCCAAAGTATCATACATTTTCTGTAACTTTATCAGAAAATAACATTATTTTAATTGACCGTTATAAATATTCTTTTTGTTGTTATTGCGACACATGATTTATTCATTGTATATTTCATAGTATTGGTAAAGTATGAGAGCTATTGAAACATATTTTCAGTATTTATACTATTAAAACTAAATTTTTCAATTCTATATTATTTACTTGTAGAAATTTCTGAATATAAAACAAATATTTTTATTCATCAATAACTCAAATATACAATATATCAAATAATATGAGAAGCTAATTTATAAATCAGGTCATAATAAGTAAGATCGATACTAAAAAACGAAAAAGACACAATAATAGTAACAATAGATCCATTGTCATTCACCTCATCACCCAAGGACATTGAAAATCAAACGACGAATAGACAAAAAGTTTAGTTAAATTATTTTGGATTACCAATGATAAAATTGATTATTATCATTTTCATCATTTTCATCGCATCCAGGACTCCATTTCGAAAGTTTAGTTATATTTGCAAAGCCAAGTTTTGCTGCGGGACCATCGGATCGGATAGTAAAAAAATCACATTGATTAACATCACCAATAAATAATGGGTCTGCTATTACACTATTATTATCTTGTCCAGTTTTTTGCCATTCAGTGAATGATACTTGTTGTGATCCAAATAGTAATGAAGTACCATAGGGATTATAATAAACATTATCGTTAAATGGTGCAATTACATTAGGACTGGATAGATAAACCGAATGTTTTTCTCCTTGAAATGTATCATAGATAATATTGCGTGTAAATGTTATTGATGTGTGATTTTCAGCAAGTCCAATATGAATATCACCATCTGGATCAGTATCATCAGGATGTGGTGCTGGATTAACTGATGCACGTGCAAATACATTATTGATTATAGTATTATTAGCACCATAATGTTGAAAAAACGAAGCCCAACCAGTATTATATACGATATTATTAGAAACAATGACTTGTGATGTACCTTCGTCAAGATAAATACCCCACATAAAAATTGCATAACTAAACACATTCTTAATAACATTACCATCAATAATTGTTCCTGGTTGAATACCAAGTGTATATATACCACCTTGATCACATAGAATATGTTGTCCAATATTATAAATATAATTGTTTTGAACAATAATATTACTTGTATAAGATTCTTTGTAGCCCAATTCCAATCCAACAGATATACCCGAATTACGATGATGATGTATACTATTATCAGCAATAATAACATCATTAGCACAATGACCTATGACAGCTACACCACTGGGAAATACATTACCACCATAACTAACTTCATTGGATATAATTTTAATAGAAGTAGTTGGTGTTGGTGCTGGTGCTATCATTTGACCAATTCGAATACCACCAGCACCTGTATCAGTCACTAATGAATTAAAAACATTGACATTTGTTGTTCCTTCTTTAATCCATATTCCATATGAACCTATATGACTAATTTCAACATTTGAAATAATAATTGATGTTGCATTAGCAATATAAAGTGAAGCAGAATTAAGAAATGCAGCTGCTTGTGAATCTGCTTGTTGCATACGACCAATATTCCATGCACTATGTTGTATTGCAATATTATCAATAATAATATTATTAATGGGATTTCTAGCATCAGTACTAGCAATTAACATAACAAATTCATGTATTGGTGTAATTATTTGTATGTCATTCGGATTATAAGAACCATTTGTCTTAAGATAAATAGCTTTTGTTTCATTAACAAAACAAAATGAATTTGACACAAGTGCTAGACAACTATTTTCTATATGAAATCGTCGTTTTCCTTGCATAGTAAATGTTCCAATGGGAAGATCAGATGGATTTGTAAATAAAATCGTTCTATTCGATGTAATAATTCGATCAATATAATGATGTGATGTTGTCCAACTATGATATACCACTACCATAGCATCATTTAATGGAATAGAATCAAATTGTCCTTGAACATATTGAAAACCATAGCGAGCTTGATTCGGATCATTTAGTGATGCTTCATATTGAAGATAAGCTGACTGATCTATTGGTATACGTGTACGAATAATTCGTCGATCATCAGCAAATAATTGATTAACATATACTGTTAATGGTACGACAGCTTTGTATACATCATCATCAATTTCAATCCAATGAGTTATTGGCATTCCACCACTAATACTTGCTCTCGACAATCGTCGATATGTATGATCACGTACAATAAGTTCGTCGTAAAAGGCAGTCATATCCGCATTCATTGTTGTTATTCGTATGCGACTATGAGCTCTATTTAAGTGAAGAGTATTTACGAAATGATACGTTGGATACAAATATATAGTTGTTCGCCGTGGTAAACTAGTTATACTACGATAATAATTGTGTTCAACATGATCAAGAGCTCGTTTTAATGATGAATATGGGCGCGCAAGCGAACCATCAGCGTCGTCACCGAGTATAGTTGGAAATGGAACAACATATAATTCAGTAAATTTAGATAATGTCATACATAATGATTTCGTAGGTTTATCAATGATGAGCAATGTGAACCATAGTAGTAACATGGATTGACACATGTTGATTATCATATTAACAGTCTTATGAATATACTCGAGTTTTTTTTTGTCACAATCTAAAACAGAAAGAGAACAAAGAAAAAGTTTAATATTATTCAAACATAGGTCATCAATAGCATCACTGTTTGATATATAAGATAGAGATACTTTGTGCTTTTCTTTGCTTTATCAAGGACCCAAAAAAAACCTGATGTACAGAAAAAAAAGTGATTGATTAGCGATCTGTCACCCCAATGTTATTGATAAGGTTGAGATAAACTATATATGTATATATATATATACTTACATTTAGACAATAGAAAATTTTATTCATACGATACTTTTAATAATGAGAACTTTAGTTAATTTAATAAGGCAATACACATATGAGATTCATTATCAAATAATTACATATCATAGGATTCTTTGATCAGTATGAGTTATTGATAAATAGTTAGTACACGTTGAGTTTATTTTCTTCATACTATCATATAAACTTTTTGATGATTACCCATGAAAAGATAATAACAACAACAGTAAATTTATAATTAATTTATCAAATTTTATTTGATATCATTGCATTCATAGAGTACAGATACATTATAATAATAATTTGATTCATAAATCGTGCATACTATCAATAAACGTTCTTTTACATCGATCTATAATATAGAAATATAAATAAGTTTTTTTGAATATAACAAATAATAAGTAAACCTTTTTTCTTTTCTCCTACTTTTTTTCTTCAAGATAGTAAATATAAGTGTATGAGTCATCCTTTTTCAAATGATCTACGTTCTTTTTTTTTTGTTGAAAGAAAAACGTGCGCGCTGTTTATGCATGTGTCTATGAAAATGGATGCGCAAATCATCGTATAGTTGAGTGTGGGTGTGGGGTGTGTAGACGTGTGTATACATGCGAGTGTCATTAGAGAGAGTTATATCCACATCCACACCCTGGACCAACAACACATGCTATTCCTCCGATGACTAATTGACCACAAGATTTGAAAGAAATAGTTATTCAAATTTTCGTTTTCTTTTTGTTGTTGATAATTTAGGTTGATGGTTTAACAATATTTGTATTTGATGGTTATTTTTTTTCTGATGGATCAGAAATCAGTTCATTGAATGAAGAAGAAATTCGTTTAATTGTTCGTCGAGCTCTTGCTCTTAATATTTGTACACTTTGTATTTGTAGTGTTTTTTCCATCATGTCGAAAAGATCAAGATGTACGTGTAGGACAAATTATTCGTGAAGAATCACCCACAGCATATATGAGTCTTTCACATGAAATTGCTGGTTTTGGTATATCTGAACGTGAGGATGCTGGAATACTCAATGCGTGTCAACGCCCATTAGCTAAACAAACTATTGAAGCATTACAAGCATCTCTTCCTCCGAATGTTTCTTGTTTTCTTACAAGAAATGCTGGTACTCCATTATCATCAGAAGATTCAATCTGTTGGCCTGATTTCACTTTTTTTTAGTGGTTCTACTAATTCTATGATTGGTACTGCACATCTTGGTGGTATTACAAATGGTGTTGCTATTGATGTTGAAGAAGCATCAGTGTATATTAAAGTTATTGTAAATGGAAGACCAAGATAAACACATGCAGTAAGAGATTAAGTATTTTATCTTGATTATCATGTTTTTCTTTTTTATGAATTATTTATTGAAGAATGTACGATTAATCGATGGTATTCGAGCGAATATTGCTGTACCTGACACAGTTTCTCTACCATTAGGTGGTGATACTGTAATTCATATTAATGAAAAAGATAAATCGGTACAAGTTGGATCAGATAGTGTAGGTTATCGACTTGAACAAGAAACATTACCTTTTGGTGGTCAAATAATTAGTGGAACTGGTATTGCTTTGACTGCTTGATTCACTAGAAATGTAAATATCTTATGTGGTGGAGAATCAATTCTCATTGATACTAATCAGTCATTTCCGGACGTTACACAAATAATAGTTTATTGTAATTATTTTTTGTTTAATTTTTTTTTCACTTCGTATTTATTTAGCTAATACGAACTGATCATTAATCTGTTTGCAATGCTGTCGGTGCTGCTCTCTGTTCTGTAAGTGCAAGCATCGATACAATTACTGATTTACCTCTATCATCTACAGATGATGGTAAACAACGTAAATATGTACTTAATGAATTAATTTATAAAATATATGATAAATGTGAATAAAATGGAGCTCGTTCAAATACTATTCATTTAATTGACTTAGAACAAATACCATTAACATATAATCCTGATGAACATATACATCGAGTGTGATTGACTGGTGTGGGTGTGTGTATGGGTGTGTGTGAATCTAATTTTTCCCCACCACACTCACACTCTTGTTACCAAACGAATCGATAGATAATGCTGAGATAAAAAGACAAGATAAAATCTAATTTATTCGCTAAGCTTTTTCTACTGTAGTGTTGCATTTGTTTCTAGAGTGTATAGGTGTGGATGTGGTGGGGAGAAATTCGATTCACACCCATACTCACCCTTTTTCGATACTCGATCCAATTAGAAAACTTTGCATAGATGTTTGGATTTATTTATGAAACTATTTATCAATTATTCGACAGGAGGTTTTATATTTTTTATCAATCTATTGAAATATATTACAGATATAAGTGATTTTGAAATATTAAATACCCCATGATCAATCAAGGATTCACAAAAAATTTCTTTTCATTTTTACTATTCGAATATTACATTTAGATTATGAATAGTTCTGAGTAATAACTCAATTATTACACTTCATTAATTTCGAATTCAGTATGAGCTTATGATTTCTTTTCAATTTTAATCTTTTACCTTTTTTTTAATGCAACAAAAGGTATTCGTTATGTATTATGATTATAATCATGTGGAAGTGAAGACTACAAGTTTTTATAATTTAAAAGTTAGTAGTTGTTGACAAACAGAAGCTATGAATCATTTTACGAATACACGACATTTATTGTATGTTTGTGTTTTGTTAATATCGTCATTAATGTTTGAATATTTATACGCACATAGCACCTACGGTTTGCCAATAGGGATTTAATTAATTAATTATTTAACAATACAAAAAAAAACTGTGTAATTGAAGTAAATTCAAACTATAGATTTTCTCTGACTCCTATACTTCGCTTAGTTCGTACAATTTCACAGATAACTACTTGAAAATGTAAAGGATACTGCCGGTTAAGAAAACTTTCCTTATTGAAACTCAGTAATGTGGGTTTTGTAGAGAAATGAAAGGCCTATCTGTCTATGTATTTGGTTTTTCAAAAAAATTTATCGACGATCAGAACGGATTGAAACAAAGTTACTGAGCACTACTTGTACTTGCTCGTACTAAATGTCCTCCTAGAAGTCCATCGAACATACCTAAGAATACCATTTACATACCATTCGGTAGAACTTTGAATTCTCCACAAAACCCTATATTTGAAGTCGAGATATCACAAGTCAATGTAAGCCAAGAGGAGAAATCCGAGCAAAAATGTCGCATCTGCAAAAAATCATGTGTTCACATATAGGCTCACAGAATTCAGAAAAAGGCGTACCCCAATGAGATATTTACAGAAAAACTTCCCGATAATGAGAGCAATAGAAATATGAAAAAAAATTGTAAAAAATATTTGGGCCAAAAAATGCTAGCTGAAAATTGTTTTTTTTAATTTTTTTTTCGCTCAGATCTCATTCCTAAGCAATATTAATGATATTTTTTGAATCAGGGAACAAAAATGCATCGAGTAGATGCTTTTTAACTTAATCACGGTGAAAAATCATTCCGTATCCTATAGTAGAAAAATGTTTTTCTTCATTTACTGGAATGTTTCAAAGTGATTTTGTTTTCTGTTTACCAATACAAACTTAGACTGTAGTTAAATCTAGGATGTGGGTGTGGGTCCAAGCGTTAGACCTTTTCTTTATCCACACCCATCGAAGCAAATGCTAAAGAAAAACTTGACAAAATTCTACAAAAATCAGTGAAAGATAAAAACGAGCTCGAAAAATTGGCTCTTAATGTGTTGGAAAATGAATCAATTAGCAGTTCAGATTTGCTTGGTGTTGAAGACAGCAATGGTAGCCTGTATAATGCAATATACAGTCGCGTTTCTGATACGTTTGATTCGCCTGTAGAAATACGAACTCGACTGGCTGAGTTTATGTTAGCCAATTCGACTTTTAATGAAAGCATTCTACCGACTGTCAATATCATTAATTCGAAGTCGAATCCTATTCGCAGAAAAACGTTGTTGATGAAAGATGGATATACGAAAATTGACATTAGTGTTATCGGGGCACAATCGATTACATCCAAAAAATCGAATCACAATGGTCCAACTGTGAGAATCGATACAATCAAAAATCTTTTCAAATGGATTAATAGTAATAGTAAAGAAATTATATTGTTAATTGATGTAGCATAAAAACTATTTCCAAAATTAATCTCATAAAAATCTGCCGACATGGGAATTCAATGTGTAACTTTCATCAAAGTGGATACTAATTTATTAGAAAAATATCAAAATAGAGATATTATACGCTGTAAATTTTTTTAAAATTCTACTTTTTGGAAAATCGATGTTAAATAAGTCCAAGTATTTTTAAGGTTTTATAATTCATTCGATGAACTTTTCGTATCTCGAAAAAGCTTGATTTTCCAATTTAGAGAGATTCAATTTGATATTCGAAAAGTTTCGTTTTTCAAAGAAGTGGAAAATCAACACTGATTGTAAATAAAATACGAAAATCAATTTCGATTTAAAAAAAATCATTTGAACAATGACTGCTATAGAGTCATTGTGCATACAAGTATGTAAGCCAGCCGATAGTGTTATGCATTCATTATATTCTTCGGCAATTGATGAGTTGATAAAATTATATTTTTACACCTGCTCTGTGAGTTAGTCCATGTTGTATATATTTACATTAAAATTAGTTATTTATTTTCTTCGTTGCATTTATATGAATTAAATGTTTATAATATTATTTCAATTCCAATTATTTCTTTATTTATTTTATTGGTGAGATTTTCTCTTGGAAATAGAAAGTCTTAGTTGAATTTCGAACTTCTAGAAAATATTCTAATTGCTAAATAGAATCCGAAATTCTAGGAATGTCCATATGAATTCACTTTCAATTTTCTAATTAGAAAATCAAATTTCTTATTCTTAATGTTTCGAATGTCTTATTTTCAAAGAATTAAAAATTCATCGGTGAATTCATATAGGCATTTCTAGAATGTTCTTCATTAAACTCTATAACTTATTTTCTATTGTATAGTGTAGGAATTGTAAAAAAAAACTTCAACGTATCGGTGAAATAATACTCCAGTTTCATCAAATGTTGAAGAATTAATTTCGATTTGAAATTTGAAATTTAAAATGAAAATTGTAAGAACAAGTTTTTTCCACTATAATATAAACAAGATAAAGAGAACTCTTGAAACTTATGTAGAAATAATTAAAAAGTCAAAATAATCTGGACATCATATCAAATTTTGTTCTTTTCTAATAAACACATATTTCAATTATTGACATCAATAATTCATACGATCAACAAATAGAAAAATATTTACTAATCCAACAAAATGCAATATGGGACATGGGTGGGAGTATGGGTGTGTGATTGTGATTGTGGGTGTATTAGGTATGTAACTCTGGGTGTGTAAAAAGAATACACATCCACATCATCACTCACGCCCACACTCGTCCTCTAGCTTTCTTCTCGGTGGATCAAGAATTTGTCTTTCCTTTAATAAATTGAGCATATTGAACTTCTGGGCGTCATTTTTTGAGCTGTCTTGTCAATTTGGGCTAGAGATTTTAATATATTACATCGTAGTTCAGCATGTTCTTCATTATTGGTTAGATATGTGTCATACAAAGCTAACGATTGTTGTAAATGTTTTTGAGTCTCGTCTAGTAAGTTTAATCGTTGTTGCATAATGCCTACACTTTTGTACAATGTGCATAGAACCTCGTAATAATCGTCACTCTTTTCTTTCTTTCCTTCCTCAATGAGATGTTTTATGACCATTTCATAATTATTTAATGCTGCATCAAATTCATAAAGGCTTTTGTAAGCATCGCCAAGCGCCTCGTCGTAGGTCGATGCAAGCCGACTTTTCTGTTGACGTCGAATATTGAGCGATTTTTCATATAATTTCACTGCGCATTGATATTGCTTGTTGAAGAAATAAATTGTGCCTACATCGTGGTACGCATCAGCAAGTTCAAGATCGAATGACGAAAGTACTTTTTCTTGAATTGTTAATTTAGGAATTAAATATGTCAATGCTGCTGTATAATCTTCTCGATCTTCGTAGTATGAGGCTAAATACCAATAAGTCACAATTAAATCAGGATCATCTGGCTCGAGATTTTTTAGCTGTAAATCTAATGCCATTCGATAGTATTCAATCACTTTGTCCTGATCATTTATATCGTAATGAGCGGATCCCATACTTACATATGCCATGGCTAGAGATCGAAGATTTTGAGCATTTGGTTGTTTGTACGCAGTAATTGCTTTCTGGTAATATTCAATGGCTCGATCATGTTTGTTAAGTTCGTTATAGCAGTCTCCTAACGCATTATATATTGGGCCCAAAATTGGGTGACCAGGATCTCGTATTTTAAGCATATTATTGAGCGCTTTGTGGACATATTCTAGTCCTTTCTCGATATTACCTTGGTCAGCAAATGTTGCACTCAAACCATGATAGTAATTACTAAACGACGGATGGTTTTCATCATAATTGACTAATTCAAGTCCAAGATCAAGAGCCTTCTTATAGTTTTTAAGTGCTTCTTCCAAGTTATCACATTCCCTATGTTTTGTTCCAAGAGCATCATACGCAAAAGCCAATACTCTCTTATCTATCACATCAACTCTTAGCAATGTTGACAAGCCTTGTTCTAAGTGGTCAATAGCTTTTGATGAAACTGTTTCTATTGTCCCCAAATTGACATACGCTTGTCCCCACTCTATGAAGCTCAGTGTGTCTTGGATCTGAAATATATAAAGAGCTTGTTGATAATGATTGAGAGCTTCTTTTGTCTTGCCCATTTCATCATACAGATCACCAATTAACTGATGGTTTTTTTCCGGTTTGTGGATGATTGGCAGGACGATGGCACTCATTAATTTGCAGTGCAATCTTATATTGTTCCTCGGCTTTGCTAAAGTCCCCTGAATCCTGATAAATATATCCAAGATTCATATAGGTTTTTGAAAGCGATGGAAAATTGGGCGGATGTATTTTTAATTTAGAATCGAATATCGCTAGACACGTCTGCAATGCTAAAGTATTGTTATTCATTTGGAGATAGGCCATAGCTAAACCGCTTTCTGTCACTATTCGAGCGGAATGTTCCGGCGGAAGCGAAACTTTTTCAATTGTTAATGCTTCTTCGTAATATTGAATTGCTCTTTCAGGCTGTTTCATATCGTCGTACAACGTAGCCAGATTGTGATAGATGATAGCAATATCAGGATGCTTCAAGGCACCTAGACCTAGTTCTAACTGATTTTCTAGAGCTTTCTCATAGTAATGAGCTGCATTTGTGTAATCTCCCAGTTCAGTATACATCGTAGCCACATTGTTATATGAGATAGACAGACCTCTTTTATCATAAGACTGATTTTGCACGTCATATGAGATAGAAAGTTCAAAGTTTTTAGCTGCTTCACCGTATTGTCCTAGAGCCATTTGTGTAGCGGCTATATTATTGTAAATTTGACTGAAATACGGATCATCTGGGTTCAGCGTACGTTGTTGAATATTCAATATTTGATGGTGATAATACATTGCTTTCTCATATTCGCCTTTTTCATCCGAAATATTAGCAAGATATTTATAACAAATAACCCGTCCTTCATCATCTGTGTCGGATTCATTCATGTCGAGAAGAAATTCGAAATAACGTTTTGCACGATTGTAGTCACCTTGCATCATCAAGAATTTACCTAACATCGCCAACGTAGGTTTCTGACCGATTTCATCGAGAAAATGTTTCATAAGCATCTCGAAACGTTCCTCTACTTCTGTGGTAAGGGTGAGAGAGATTAGCCAGCCAGATGGCCATTCTTCGACACTATCAATTCGAAACACAGTTCCAATGGAGAATAGAATTTCATTTTCTGTAGAAATTGCACTTAGACCATCAATATGTGCAAATGGTTGACGTGTTTCACCGATTGTAATTTGATAGAGGACACATTCCAAACCTTCAGGTACACCTGTACCAACCCCAGAAAAGCCTACGGCTTGATCATAATTTTCGGTAGTTGACAAAAACGTATTCATGGATATAAAACCTTTCTCTTGATTTGCTTCTATTATGCGCATCTCTTCAGTACTAATTAGTTGACCTCGATATACGACTAGATTAGCAGTAGACGGATGAGATAAGCTCGCTAATTGCTCATGAATTTCAGCAATAATGAAGCGAAATTGATAGATGATATCGATATCCGCTGTACGAAATGCTCTATTCACTGAACGATAAAGAAAGCTATTTTTAGTATACCAATGTATCGCTTGGCCTGATCTATAATTGTTTTCAAATTCTGTTATACGCTGTTGTTCGATTATATTACATTCGTAACGCTTTCGACAGACATCAATAAGATCTTTCTTAGCACGATCATCACGATTGTTTTCCATAGTAAGTATAATTCGGATGAGTAACTGGAACCACATGAATGATGCTGTTTGAGTGTTCAAGTCGTGAATAGATTTTTGTTTCTCATCCGATTGAAAAATGCGCATTGGTGTTAAATGAGCTGAATATTTAGTCATATCAGGTAAGAGATGACAAAAAAGTGGTTTTTGTTTCATGAAAATACCCCTAATTTTAGCATATTTTTTTGTTCATTCATTATGAAATGATTCATTTTTACAGAACACATATACCCAAACAATAACGTCTAATGATTCAACACGTTCGAGAAGTGCATCTCCTAATGCACCGGATACAACGAGAAAAACACGATCATGTTTGTTTGGTAGAGTTGTCAAATAATTCACACATTCCTCAAAATCATTGAAAGTCTTGACATTGCCAAATAGACGACGTAGTTTTAGTTCGGTACAAATACAATCTTCATTTCGATGAATATTATAATCAAGCCAGACAATTGAAATTTCTTCTATATCTCTTAATAAGGCATCTTCAGGTGAAATATTAATCTTCGTCGGATTAATTATGCAACGTTTTGACCCTGAACGTTGTAATGTTGATCTAGTCAGGCCTATATTCTACACAAGAAACGTTCTTTATAAAAAAACAATAAAATAAAATTAGACGATGAGCAACTCAGTACACTGTTGCACTATAGTATTACGTGGCTTGTAAGATCGTCACTTCTCACTAATTTGGAAAAGATTTAAGTCATAAAAAAAAAACCTGTTCTAACTATTCTCAGTTATTAATTTTTCTTTTCATGTAGTTTTATGCAATCGATCTTCCTGTACTATTGAACACTCGAATTTTTGACTTGATAATAACTTACATATTAGAGTATATAAGTATACCAATGAACTCGCATATGGTAATATTTGGAATGTGTGAAAACTCCTACTATTCTGAATTTCGTGGGTTCTTCAAAAGTTTTTTTCTGGTTCTGCCTAGAAATATTTCGTGTAAAACCTTTTTTTTAATTTTCTAGTAAAAAATTTATTTAAAGGACTCGTTGGAAGACTCTATGTAGCACGAAACGTAGATACGATTGATAGTTACTAATGACTTATGTAATACATGGAAAAACTGCTGTTGTTAACAAAGCCATATTTCTTCCACTCTGCATTTATTCTCGTATATTAGTACGTATATCTAAACTCTTACAATCATACTTTTAAATTTGTGCTCTTGTTAGAAAGTAGTAACTCGATTTGTATAATAACTTTTTATATAGTAAAATGCGTAATTGTAAATTTGTCTCTGGTGTGCAAACAAAATACAGTTCTTTAGCTCTTGTTATTGTCAGAACGTAAGAATCTTAGACTATGTTGTCTAAAAAATGAACTGTAACTATAGATTTTTCAGACGTGATAAATTAAAGTATCTCATGATAACTAAAAATTATTAATAAGATTTTTCATACTTTAGCTAATGTTGAAATACATAGATAGGATTATTATTGATAAATTTTCAAAAACTGATTTTTGTAACACCTTTATCTCTTTTCCAGAGTGACATTTGTAAACATGCGATAGAAACTTTATAATATATTTTTATTTGAAGAATCTTGAGAATTAAAAAACTTAATGTATACGAAGATGTAATCACAACTATTTTTGAATGATAAAGTATTTCGTTTATTATTTTCTACATATACACTCTAGAAAATATCCTCACTAATACTGTACTTTGTACTGAGACGTTTTATACTCAATCCACATATACGTAATCTGTACTTACCTCGCCCACAAGTCTTTCATTTGATTCAGTGATTTGCTCATTTAACATTATTTATTATAAAGACGAAAAACAAGGTTGTGTTTTATTTTTTTTAAGATAGACGCAGTAAGACAAGAATGGCGAGGATCGATGAGTAATCAAAACTTCTCATTTTTTCTATTTTCTTTTTGCTCGATCGCTCTCAACTAACAGGAGTCACATGACGAAAAAAGGACTGAAGAGTGAAGTTTAGAAGATTTTACCATGGTAATAGAAAATAATATGACGTGTGATTCATGTGTAGCAGTATCAAGAGTGAAAAAATTATAAACAAAATAGTCATCGTAAATTTTCCTTGTTGTGTTCGTTCTGACACAAGTAGAGCAACAGACATTTGGTCGAAATACTGGTATTTGAGCCAAGAAGAGCATTTTGACATCAATGTTTTTTATTTCGCGAATGAATCGTGTAATGAAAACTAGTTGAGAGTATGGTGTGGGTGTGGGTGTGGATGGGTGTGGGTGTGGGTGGCTTATCCTCATTCGCACCCACCCACACCCACACCCATACCCTTCAATCGTGTATAGACCAACCGCAGCGCTTTCATCAGCTGTCAACCCATCAGGCGGATTTATCGGAGTTTCGTCTAGTTCTAGTTGCACATAGACCGATAAATAATTAAGAACATTCATTAATGGAGCACATGTTTCAGCTAACGGTAACAAAGGCTCTTTTGGATATCCCATAAATGGAGAAAAATTCTTGCCGTTATCACTCGGCTTAATGAAGATTTGTCAATTTATGTCTAAGAGGAGACATCCTGCAACATAATATCTTTCACTCAACGGTGGACCAAATTTAACACGATCATTCGATTTTGCGTCTACTCTTTGTCTTTGATCGTCATCGAATTGTTGTTCATTTAAATCTGATTTTCGTTCATTGGATATGTTTGATGATTCGTTTTCCGTCTTATTCTTCTTGGGCATGGCTTCGCTTTCATATTTGACATCGCGACTGTCGTACACTGTTTCTTCATCATCATTTTCCTTGCGGATCTCTTCTTACTTTTTTTTTTTGAATATTCATGTCTGTAGCATCCAGTGTGATTACCTCTTGCCGATTTGAATTGTCAGCATCTTCTTTCTCCATTTTCTTTTTCGACTGATACATCTCTTTTATCGTCGATGAGTACTCATTCTTAAAAACCATAATGCAGTTATATTCTATCGTAATAATATGAAATAATAGGCTAGGCGAAAAATTTTCCATTTGTTTTTCTCTTTTGTTCTGATATTTTTTCAAGTCTTTTAAAATAGCACTTGTTGTTTTCTTCACAGAAATCTCGTTATGTCATCTGCAAACCTTATCTGCATCAGTATTTCAGCCGACTACTGCAAATGAGTTACGTTAAGTTCTTGAACACTTCCACAGACTGAAAAATTCCTCGTTAATATTCTTTCACACAAATTTCACTTTTTTTCTTACTCTAGTAGAAAATATTAATTAATAAATAGAATAATGCAACTGTTTTGAAAACAAGTCGATCTGTTTGTTAAATTATCTTTATTGAACTTACAATCAAACAGTACAAACACAGTTAATGGATGTGTTGCTTATCATTTCATTCAAAACTATGATGAATAAAATTCTTATAGAGTCTAGTTTTCTGTTCTACAAATGTTGTTGCAAGCAACTTGAGAAAGAAATTCATAAGCTCTTGAAAATGGTAAATTGCAGTAGATTTTTTAAAAATAGAGTTAGAGAGTGTGGGTGTATGCGTGTTGGTCTTTTCTTTCCCCACACCCCACACCCTACAAATGAGTCCAAGGAGAATTTCTTATGGAAAGGCATACTTTATAGGATCATACATTATGAATTGAAAAGAAAAACATGATTGTCGATTAATGATAAATTAAAAGAAGAGGAAGAAAATTGTAGTAGTAAGAACCATCATTAATCGTTGATTTCTACCCATGATTTGGCCACTTTCCGATGATGAATGTTCAGGTTCTTCAGATGTGTGTTCAGGTTCTTTAGATGTCTATTCAGGAATACACTTTCTAATCGAACCAGGACCACTTATAACTTGACTAAGTAAGGTTCCTCGATAGCAAATGGTACCAGTTCCGCTCAAGGTCGCACGAACTCCTTCTACGCCATAGACATAAGCAAATCCAGTTCCAGACATTTGAATATCCACAATCTTCATCGGACATGTTGAGGCATCCAATTCCCCAGTGCCTGAAAGACTCAGTTGTCCATTCCCTTGAACTCGACCTGATAAAGTGAGTCGACCTGTACCCGACATTGCAACATTAATATTAGAACCATGTTGTAGTTCTAGTGTTACAATGCCGGTTCCAGAATGTGCAAGATTCAAAAGCGATGAAGGATTGCTAAAAACGACGTTCCTTGATCTCATTGACGATGCTTCATTTATTTCCAAGCCAACTAGAGGTGTGCGATAATTGACATACACTTTGATTGCTGGATAATTGATGCCGTTCATCAATTTGACATCAAGACCTGTGAAATAAAATTAAAACAGTTTAAATTTCTTCGTTGTAGACAACGACTCTTGATAATGATCATTTCTCATCGTCTTCCATTTAGTCAAATAAAGGTTTGGTGTTCACATTGTTCGATACACTTTTTTTCTAACGAAGTGTTCTCAAAATAAAAGGCAACAATGAAAGTTTTTATTCACTTGTCACACATTGAGATTTAGATTGGGCTAATAAATCTGTTCAAAACATCTATTAAATCAATGTGTCTCTTTGCTCATCTATCTTTTTCTTCATACAGAATGCGTTCAAAAATCCCATTTAATGATTGAATATATAAAATATTTCTATTTAACATTTAGAAATGAAATGGAAAGTTATGAGTAAAAGCTGAAAGTATTCTGCAAATTATGGATACAAACCATCATCCTGTCTTGTTGAAACAGTTATATAGCGGTTTGTATGCACCCATTGTTCCGTTTCGATGGTGACACTCGGTTCAATATTCACGTGAATCAATTCGAATTGAATGTGTGCAGATGCTCGAATCTTGTCAAAGTTGCCATCAAGGGAATATATTTCAGATATCACTGTTTGATTTTCACTTTTCACACAACAAGCAATCACAATCACTGCTAACAATACGGTGGAAAAAAAAACACCTCATTGGTGAATACAATGGGTAAGAAGGAAAGAATAGATAGATACAATCTAAAAAGTAAGACATATGGTGTATACACAAGACAGTTGATCCTCTAACATGGAACTGTTTGACCTAATTCGAAATGGTTGATTAATCGCTAAACTTAAGCATTTTAAGGGTTAACGGATGACTAGTTTTAGGTACTTGATCGTCTTACTCGCTTTTGATTTGATGAGCTGTACTAATGACAGAAGTGTCTGACGTCTACGTATCTTCCTTAGAAGCTGCAGCTAATCTACGAGCTATCAATTCTATCAATTCTAGACATGATTGGAACTCGATATCGATAATGCATATAAAGAAAACAGTTTTGATAACATTATCTGATATTTGTTCTTCTTCTTGCTTGTTTTTAAATTCGAGTTAACATGTTTTAAACAAAGCGCAGTATCTTTGGTGCTGAAATGTGAAACTCACGTATGCTCGCCAGTCTAATTAAACTAATAAACAAATATCTAAAGTGAAAAACCTCTAAAAGGCTACAGTTGTTCTGCGCAATAATCAATGTGTAGAGCAATAATCTATCAAAATTAATATTGCATAGACCTAAATTAAATTTATTATCTCATTGAGTTTTATCTTCCTGCTGATCATATGACAACTAACGCAAACCGATCCATTGCTCCTCATCGTTATCGATATTTGGAACCTGAACTTTTCCAAGAAGCAAACTCAAAAAATAGATATTCAAGCAAGTCAAACAACGAACTTCAGCTATTGAAATTTATATAAAAGATTTAGAATATTCCAGACTTGTAGCAAAGTGGGGTGTCATTTTTTTAATATTAAATTATTAGTGTCTGCAAATCACTATTTTCTTCGAAAATATACGTGAGTTCCATAAAAAAATCGATGAGGAAGAAAGTAAAATTATTTTGTCATAGCTATTTTCTTAATATATACTATAAGTATCGAAATGCAATGATTTCTAGAATTTGTAGGTCGTAGATCAGTTGAACTATCGAAGTTGTTTAAAAAGTTAGCAGTGAACGGATCTTCATGATATTAATAAATCTAGAATAAATGAATGACTATTTTGTAATGAGATGAAACGAAAAAATGAAATAAGGTAAACAAAAGATATTTTTTATCTTGTAAAACCACGAAATTTTATGAATTTCATAAAAAAATGAATAATTACAATTTCTAAAAGACTTCCTAAAGAATCTACAATAATTTCTTTTAATACTTCAGATTTAATTATATCATTAAGATCTTAATCATTACATATTGAGTAACAGAAATGTGATGGATATATCATAAGATCGAGTTTCTTATCGGTATATCAAATCACTAGTCTTCAAAATGCTTTTTGACTATCAGTATCTTAGCAAAGAATTCTAATTGCTGTAAAATTGATTTCATTTATCAAATATAAAAAATATAACAGCAAGTAATAGATGAAGAGTGCTTTTCTTAAAAACTTCATATTTTAGTTAAAGGATGTATAAAAACGTGAATGTGCTAAATGCATTAAGTTTTGTTCGCTTCAATATTCATCTATTCTTTTCTGATTTTAATGGTTATACGATTAGTAAAACAAGTTGAATATTCTTGTTGAAAAATATCGTACGATTTTTGACAAAAGTGACTCTTCAAATGATGATGAAGTGACATAAATACAAGCTCCTATTCAAACATGGTGATTGTCAAAAGATAAGTGCTAAATAAAATAACTATTTTATTCAAAATCAGCGAAACAACCGTCTTCGAAAGGTCTCACAAGTTTTGAGAATGAATCTTCATCAGATTCTGACCTCAGGGAAGCACAAATCCGATTATTCGAAAAAACAGTTAAGAGAAGTGCACTGTTAAAAAAGACCGCAAAGATTCATTTTATGTATTTATGAAGTGTTTCGAAGAAGATTTTTTTCTTCTTTGATTTTGAATATAATATTCATTGTATGTAGAGCTTATCTTTTGATGATAGAAATGTTTGAATAGAGTCTCGTATTCACGGAGCTCTGACGTCATTTGAAAAAGATTGCTTTTGCCAACAATCATGTGATATTTTCGAACAAGAATATGCAACTTTTTTACTAGCCATATGACTGGTAAAACCAGGAGAGAAAAATTGATATATATTGAAACGAGCGAGGCTAAATGTAGTTATCATACTCGAGTTTTTAAAAGCTTTTCAGAGTTTTGCAGCAAGAAGACTATCCAAATATATTAAGAATATTTTTCAGGGATAATTTTATGAGCCCTATCAAAACATATGAAAAAGTAAATCAAGAAAATTTTGCTTTAAATGCGCATTTCCTGAACTTTACATACTTTTAATAAAGTATGTTGCTAAACATTCTAATTTTAAACGTCAAGAATTAAATTCTAAGAAAATGGTATAGAATAAAACAATTTAGTTTAGAAACATTGAAGACGATCATATTTATTTTATTAATCAAAAATATTTTTAATATAACATTTTACCTTCAATTGAAAACTGGAATTGACATTTACAAGTATATTGCAAAAAATGCAGAACAAATGATATTAAAAGACTCTATATATTGTGTGTAGAGAACATCCTAGGTTATCGGTTGGTCAAAAACAAGTTTTCTATCCTTCCTGTTTCTAAGCCTGATGATTCACAAAAGAAAGATTATTATCAAATTATTCAAAAAAGCATGCCTTCATTTTAAACTGTTCCTTTATTCCTGTAAGAAGTACTCATTTCAATGATGTGCTACAGAGCAGATCTCGATGAAAGTTATTGCTTCTCAATCAAATGCTTATAAACGTTTTTACACGCATTAGTTGAAAACAAGATTACACGACAAAATATGGAAAATGGAGTTGCCACTAAAGGATAATACCATGAAAAACAATTTATAGAGATACTCGTCTAAACGTAATATACCCTAATATTGACTAATAGATTAGTAGGGAGGTTGCTGTTACTAATAAATGCGAGTATCGCTTCTATTCCAAAGTGTTGTTTACTTCACCTGACTTTCGATGGTTTCAATGTTATTCAGAAAAATGAATAATTTTCTTCTTTCAAGAATCGAGCTCATGATATGACAACTGGTTACACAGATCGGTTTTCTATGCATTCAGTCATCGAAACAAGACTAACATGTCATTCACTTTCTGAATGGTAATAAGTCATTGAAATTTTAAACATCGCCACCATGTGTTTGAAGTACTTGGAGATAGTGAAACTTTTTTTTTAACTGAGTCAACACTATGGTGACTTTTTATTCTTTCCTTATCAAACGGTAAATATAAGTGCCAAGCAATAAAGGGGAGTATATATAACTACACAATAATGATCTTTACTTTTTTTGACTTTCGAAAATTTAAAAATGATTCAGAAAATGAGTGATGTGTTAGTTGCATTTCCATAACCCCATTGGTTAGAACCCTGGCTCAGATAACCAGCACTCATACTACGAATTTGATTCTTCAACGAAACATATCATGCATTTTTCGGAATGATATTTAAATCATTGATAATGAAACGAGGTAAAAGTTATTATAAATGATGTCTTCAAAAATCCAAATTGAAAAGTAAATTCGAATGACTCTACTGTTTATCGAACTTGATCAACTAACTTCTTTCTATATGATATATACCACTGTGAATTAATATTTTGATACAGATAAACTTCATAGATATTGTTCAAGATTATTACTTTCGATTGAAATACAAAAAGTATTCGTTTTTCTTGATTTTCAACAAAATCATTGTATAGAGTTTCTTTGAATGTTTGAATTTCTTTGATTTTTTTTGTGTCGTTCAGATCTACCAGATATTATCCTTTAGTTCGTATTCATTTATTTCGATATTTCACTGCAAAAAAATATGCCGAACAGTGTAAGATCCGATGATCATAAAACTCATGCAATAGGGTCTGCGTTTGGGTCTCAGTCTCGGTACATGTGCCCGTATTGGTGTAGGTGGAGGTAGATGTGTGAGTAGTTTTGGAGTGGATCTTGCTCTTTTCTCAGTGCATCCGCACCAACACCGACACCCACAAACACACACATGAACAACCACTCAATTCTCTCTTAAGCAATAGTAAAGAATAGGTTATCAGAAGCTTTAATGATCCTATTTTCTAGGGTGTGGGAGTAGGTGTGGGTATAACTGCAAGGAAAACATGTTCACACCCACATTCACACCCAGCTACATCCATGTTGGAGAAATGTAGTGCAATGAAACTCGATTTAAAAGAATCTGGAAAAAAGATCAGCTCAAAAACTTAAACG